ATATATATATACACATACATAGCTTAATAGTATATACAACACAGATAAAGCAGACTTCAACTGAACAGTAAAGAAGAATATTAGAAGATTCCTATGTTTATAAAATATATAATTTATATTCAAGAAAAGCTACATGATCTATGTATTTTAATATTTTTGTCCAATTCTTTCCTGTAAGATCTGAAAGCCTGTTCATCATCTTTTAAAAGATATAATTCCATCATGAATGTTTCATCTATTCAAATTCAAAAATCTTGAACATGTGTCCATAACAATGCTGTTACCTCTGCAAGAACTTTTATTCAGGAGAAAAGTCACAAAATCCTGAAATCCATGGAAGATATAGATAAAAGAAATTCAAAATTTTAAGCAAGTTCTGTCACAGATGGTTCTTTTAAAAGAAATATGGAAACAAAATTACTGATCAAGTTCATAACTTATTCTATTACCAGATGTGAAATCTCACCTTTACTCAGGATGCCAACCCGTAATGGAATAGATCAGTTTTTCCATAGAATATGAACACTAGAAAAGATGGGCATCATTTCAACTAACCTAAAATCCAAACAGGAAAGCCTTAATGTGGCTGTGCCCCAACTGACCTACTCAGGTGTTTCATAAATATAATACTCCTTGGTAATGAAATTTTCCATTATTCTTTTAAAGAAGACATTGAGACTTCATATAAAGATTAAATCAATGCCTCCTCTAAAATAAATATTGTTTAAGTTTCTCCTTTAAGTAGTGAAATTACAAAACAAAATAAATTCTATATAATTACTTAGCAAAACATAAAGTCAACATTCTGAAACAGTATCCCTTCAGAAAATAATATTTTCTATTGCTAGGGAAAAAATGTAAAAGTGACTTTTTTTCATACAGATTCTGAACTTAGTGATTGACAAGTATCAGACTAAAATTCAAAATGTATTGTGAAAAGTTAATAAAAATATGGCAATCATAAAGTTACATTCTGTAAGACCCGGAATCCCTTTTGTTTGTCTCTTCCTTTATATCAGTTAATGAAAAGATCTCAGTTTCCACTATTCTAATAGAGAGGACACACATCTATGATAACTCCCTTTCACTTTAACCAAAACAAATGCCCATGTTATAAATAAATCATTAAATAAATTCTTGAGCATAGAGGTAAGTCACTTGAGCGTATTTCACTCTCTTGGAGCATGAATGGGTAGACTGCTATGTAAGGGTTGTACCTTCATAACAGAATCAATGAAAACTTGAAGGGAGAGACACAATCAAAACCTCAGAGTATTTTATAAAACAAATCACTGCATGAAAACATGTTCAAAGTCCCTGCAAAAAGGTTTGTTAAAACTTTATATGTGATGTTAAGACAACAAAGTGTCAAATAAAACAATAGTTTTCCATCTTCATTTTTAAATATGAATGATTTCTTTTACTGATCCATTCAGAGTGAGTCTGCAAAATAATATCCACAAGTCAACAAAATCCACTATGTGTTTTCTATGTTGAGCATTTTTTACTTTGCCTTTTAGTTAGTTTTATATTCCAGGATAAAAGACAGTTTTTTCACTGAGTTTATATTTTACCTATTTTTAAACTATAATGTGCTTGCATAAATTTTATTCTAAAAGTTAGTTGTAAGACAGTTTTATAAAAGAAAAAACCTTTTTTTCTTACCAAAACAAATGAAGAGTGTAATAATTTTAGATTTGCATAGTACATATTCCAAATAACTACTTATCAAATAAATTTTACTTTCTGCAATAAATATAAGAACTATTTGTCTGCAGTGTAAATACCACAAAACAGAAAAAAAAGCAAATTTTACAAAAGTGGGATTAAACTTCTAAAAGAAAAATGAATGAGACTGTGTAATCTTGAGGTATAATGACCACAGGTAATACATATATTTTCATAAAATATTTGTTCTATACTAAGAGACATGAAAATTTGAAAAGTAAATGAGTTATCATTTACAAAGGTATGCACTGGGTAGTTAAAATATATTGAACTCCAAATACTTGAAAGCCAAATTATAGTGAAAACCTCAATACACTATTTGTGTTAAATCAATTTTTACTAAGGTTATCTTTCAGGAAAACCATCTTTTGTAAAAATTGTATTTAACTTAAAAACCAATTACTGAAGGAAAAAAACCTCAGAGTATTTTATAAAACAAATCACTGCAATTAAACAACAGTTCGCAGCTCAGATTATTTTAGTAATAGTCGCTGTTCAGAGAACAAAATAAGGGCAGATATAAATAACCTCTAGGGAACCAATCAAAGTATTAAGCAGTTACTTAACATCTTCTAAAAACAGAACTACTTCTGTTTGTCTAGATAATTCATTTACTTTAAAATTTTGTGCACAGCAAAAGAAACCATCAACAAAACAAGAGAGCCCACTGCATGGGAGAACATATTTGCCAATGTTATATCAGATAAGGAGTTAATCTCCAAAATTTATAGGGAACTCATACAATTTAACAAAAGGAAGATAAACAATCCAATCAAAAAATGAGCAAAGGACCTAAATAGACACCTTTCAAAAGAGGACATTCAGAAAGCCAAGAGACATATGAAAACATGCTCCAAATCACTAATCATCCGAGAGATGTCAGTCAAAACAACGAGGTACCATCTCACACCTGTCAGAATGGCTATCATCAACAAATCAACAAAGGACAAGTGCTGGCAAGGATGTGGAGAAAAAGGAACCCTCGTGCACTGCTGGTGGGAATGCAGACTGGTGCAGCCACTATGGAAAACAGTACGGTGTGTCCTCAAAAAATTAAAAATGAAACTCCCGTTTGACCCAGTAATCCCACTTCTAGGAATATATACCAAGAAATCAGAAACACCAATCAGAAAGAATATATGCACCCCTATGTTCACAGCAACACAATTTACAATAGCTAAGATTTGGAAACAGCCTAAGTGCCCATCAGCAGATGAGTGGATTTAAAAATGGTGGTACATCTACTCAATGGAACTCTTACCATTTGCAACAGCATGGATGGACCTGGAGAGCATTATTGCTAAGTGAAATAAGCCAGTTGGAAAAAGATAAATATCACATGATCTCACTCACTTGTGGAATATAATGAACAACATAAACTGATGAACAAAAGTAGATCCAAAGACATAGAAGCATGGAACAGACCATCAAACATCAGAGAAGGGTGTGAGGGGGGAGGGGGAGGAAATGTGATCAACCAAAGGACTTATATGCATGCAGATAAGCATAACCAATGGACACAGACACAAGGGAGGCGAGGGCATGTGCTGGGGGTGGGAGTGGCTGGGGAGAAGTCAGTGGGGGAAAATGAGACATATGTAATACTTTGAACAATAAAGAATTTATATTAAGAAGTAAATAAAAGTTTGTGAATAAATCTATCATAACTGACATATTATGAATTAACTTGTCTTAAACTTTGAAAGAATACATGTTAAATTTCCACATGAAAATCTTCAAAGAAACTTCAGATTTTAACTGTTTGAAAAAAAACACAACACAGATGAAATGACATACCTAGCCAAAAAAACAACAAATAAAGTACCAGGTGCTAAAAGCTACAGCCCAAGAGAATCAGTCCTCCTGTTAGAGACAGGAAATGGATACCCATGTATATAAACACCAGTAGAGCAACTAAAAGGGGAGAGCATCTTCTGACCATATTTCTAGGCTGCTGATTAAAGTTAAGGTTAAGGGGTCACGCCGATGAGCAAACCTCGGATAGGCCTAGCTTGAATAAGAAAAGTATGCCCCACAATCACGCTGTTTCCATCACCAGCTGCTGCTATCATTTTCAAGCAAATGCAAGGATACAGACAGAACAAACAGAATCATTGCCCAGGCTGTGAAGTGGCATGTACCTGCCATGTGTGAACATTTGCAAAACAGCTCAAGTCTTACCTCATAAGACCAGACACACTGAGTCCCACCAAACCGTCGAACACATCTTCCTACTTCCACATCTTCGTGAGTCGTGTACATTTCTCTGAGGCACTCACCAATGTGTGGCACCATCCTCCTGAGGACTTCTCGGCTGAAGATCATGCCAGGTCCTCCCATACAGAAGTTCTCCCCAGGCTCCAGGCCCAGCTTGCCGAGTTCTTCAATATTCCCCAGGCCAGTCTGGCCCAGGTAGAGGGGCTTGCTGCTATTCAGTGATCTAAGAAACTCTTCTAACTTGTCACCTACAAAGAGAAAGGCAACAATCATCCTTTTCCTAATTTCATAATCATTTATAGGTACAAAGTAAGGGACAGAGCTTCCAATATTGTGTGTAAACTCCCCATAAGTCTTAAACAAATGAAAAGAAGAAAAACCTCTCTGAATATTCTATTATTTTTTCAGAACTAATTTGAAGAATCAATCTTCTAGTCAAAGTCACGGGAAAACTTTAACAAGTCTAACAATCATCAGATTTTTTTAAAATTTTCATTTATTGATTTTTTTAGAGAGAGAGAGAGAGAGAGAAAACACACATTGATTTGTTGTTCCACTTATTTATGCATCCATTGGTTGATTCTTCTATGTACCCCGACTGGGAATCAAGCCCGCAACCTTAGCATATGGGGAGGACACTTGAACCAACTGAGCTACCCAGCCAGGGGGAAACAATCATCAGATTTTTAAAGGTGAAATAATTAATGATAAGGAGAATAAAGCGGTTCTTAGCATATCTGAAGTAATGATAAAATGCCCAGAAATATTAAATATTGATATTTAGCATTGACTGACAATATTAATATCCAATAATTTTTTTTCTGGCAATTGATTCAGTTTAGTGTTTTGTCCTTAACTTTTCTTGAAATTTAACTTTGGAATTTAGGAAAGTACCCTTGTAGAAAAATAAATAAATATTTAAATTAAAGAACAAAATTGGTTTACTTGTAGTTTGTTAAGTCATTAGGAAAAACAATTTAAAATCAACTAACACACTTCAAAAGCATTTATTAGTCTACAAAATGGCAAACTGGAATAAGTGGTCACTTTCTTACAGTCCCAATCAGCATCTTTACTAACATTCTTGATGATCACAGCATTTGCAGTCATTATCTTGATCCCATGCCACGCCCCTTGCGTCTCAATGAGGTTCAGCTATGATTGGGCTCTTAATACAAGATGCATTTCATTCTTAACAGAAATGGAAGGATGAAGGCATTTCAATGTTCTGAAGGACAATATTTTCAAAGCACTAAAAGAAATGCTTGTTTTTCCCTGAGCCCTGGGAAAGGTACTGCCTCCTGGACCAAGGGGAAGCAATGAGGCTACAAGTAGAGAGGCTCAAACTGAGGAAGGGCGGCCCGCCTTGTCCAAGAAGCTAGGAAACCTGAAACGCACAGGGGGACCTCCGTGCCATACTCTTCTCCTTCCCGGGCACCCCTCTCCCTCCTCGCCATCGGCTGGGCTGCAGAGATTTCCTCCAGCTCGCAGTCACTTCTCTCTGCTGAGTTTAGAAATCTCTGGCCAGAGCCGCCCACACTCGGGGTGAAGGACCGCGCCTTTTTAAAAAGCTGACAAAGTTTTCTCATGCTGTGGCTGTGGTTGCGCGTGGTTTGGGGCACTTCCAGCCTCGGCTTATCGCAGCAGCCAAGATGGTCTGGAAAGGGCCCATGCTGCTGTGTGCTGGCACAGCTTGGAGCTCCTAGGACCTAGGGTCTGGAAAATTCTCGGTTGCTATACCCTCCTTCCCCCCACCAAATGTGACAACGCAGTCTTCCCCTGGGAGTTTTACTGAGGTGTGGCGGGGTGGGTGGAATGGGGACGGCTGGGTGATGCGCGGTAGCGGCTGGAAGGCGCGTGGGGCGCTGGAGATGCTCAAGGACTCCCAGGGCGGGCGGGTCTTGCGAGAGGGGAGGAAACGCACAGAGAAGGGTCCGAGACAGGGAAGATGATTCCCTCGACCTCCCCAGTTCCGGGATTGCGCTAGATCCAGGTAAAAGGACAAGGTAGGGGAACAAAGCAAGAACAGCGATCTCCAGACTGGCTCTCGCCCGTGTCCGCAGCTTTCCCTCTCTCCAGCGAGGACACGCCCCTCTGGGCTGCTCTGGGAACCGGCCACCACCCCGGGCTTTGAGAGCCAGGCAGAGTGGACACAGCCTTTGGTTGAACCCTAAGGTCCCGGTCCTCACCTTTCCCACACTGTGAAGAGGAGGGCTAAGCGCTGGGAGGGGACGAAAAAGCCAGCGTGAGGGAGGCGGATAAAGCCGGAGAGGTGAGAGGAGAACCCGAACCGCAAGAGAGGACGAAGAGCGGACTAGGGATGGGAGGCGGGTGCCAGGGGTGGGGTCGGCGGGCTGGGGGCTGCCGGAGCCCAGGCCACGTGCTGGCAGAGCAGAGAGGCGCTGGGCAGGGGTCGGGGTTGGATGCAAAGGAAGGAGGTTGGGCAGGCGGGGCGGCCGGCGCTGGGAGGTCACCTTTGATGTAGACGTCGTCGTCGGCGCGCATGAACCACTCGTACTTGTCCAGGTAGTGGTCGTGCATGTACTTGATCATCATGAAGGACTTTTTCTGGGGAGGATAGGAGTCGTCCACCCCAGGCAGCTCGATGACAGGCAGGGGTGGCGGGGGCAGGCCGAGTCCGGCGTTGGGGGGCTGCTGGCTGGAAAAGAACTCCACGCGGCCGGGGATGAAGCGCGCCCAGGTCC